GGACTAAGATCTAGTAAAAAGGATCTCCAGTTCTCTACACTGCGAGTGTGTGGGTGTGTGATTGAGCCTTTGACATTCTAGACAGACGAATGACGACGTGTGGGATGTTTATGCTAATTTTGGATTTTATTTCAGAATGGTGTATGAGTTTTCAGCTCATTTAATTAACAAAACGTATAAAGCTTAAATTTTAAATAACAATTTTCCTAGTTTCCATAACACTTCTGCGTGTTGAAATAAATCATTGTGTATTCTCGACGGGAATTTTTGAGAAATTTAGTACATGATATTTTGCTGTTTTTATGGAACCTTATAAAAGCTATTTTACACGATTCATAAACGTGTAAAAACGTGTATAGTGTAAAAAATAGTAATAAAAATATAGTGTAAACGTGGAAAGTAGTATAGTATATATAAACGTGTATAGACTAGTAAATTTTATGGATAAATATAAATAACAAAATAAATAAAATATTGGGTCCTTACATATGAAATTAGCGTTTTGTCGTACTGACCACTTTGATCTAAAATATCTCCTCTTTGGTTAAAAATTCCATATTCACTTTATAAATTTATTTAGCTGGTACCTTTGGGTTTTGAAAACAGTCATTCAATTGTTTTTTCCTCATTATTTTTTTCTTTAGCGTTGCTTATTACCGCACAATGGAAAACATGAAATATCGGTATATTTACGATTACGAGTTCTACCGTGGCACCAGTGCTGCAGAAACAATTCGAAGGATTAATGATGTGTACGGCGCTGGTGGCGCAAAAGAAAGCACGGTAAGTTTTTAGTTTCAACGTTTTTGTTCTAGAAATTTCGACCTTCAGAACCAACCCCGTAGACGACCGGAAACCAAAGTGGAAAATAAAGAATTAAAGGCTATTATAGAAGCGGATCCATCACAAAGCACTTCAGAGATAGCTGCAGGCTTCGGAGTAAGTGATAAAACTGTATTAATCTACTTGAAGCAAATCGGGAAAGTAAAAAACTTGAACGATGGGTACCTCATGAATTGAGTAAATCAAAATTGCAAACACGCATCGATTGCTGTCACTTTGCTCAACCGACACAAAAATGAAGGGATTTTAAATCGAATCATCACTTGTGATGAAAAGTGGATACTTTGAAAAAAAATTAACTCAGAAAAAATTACTTGTGAGTGTTTGGACTAGCTCCAATGTCGTTCACTACAGCCTTCTAAAATCTGTCCAAACGATTAAGGCATATATCTGTTGTCAGCAACTGCAAATCATGAAGGAAGAACTAGCTGCTGAACAACCGAGATTGGTCAATCGCTCTAGGCCACTGCTGGACAACGCAAGACCACACACTGCACAACAAACAACCACTAAGTTAGATGAGCTACAATTGGAATATCTGCGACATCCACCTTACTCCCTGGACTTTGCTCTAACAGATTACCATTTTTTCGGGGATTTTGTCAACTTCTTACAAGGAAAAAACGCCTTCAAAGAGTTTATTGATTCTCGCCCCATGGTTTTTTTGTAAAGGGATCAATGAACTACCTATGAGATTGCAAAAGTGCATAGATAACAACGGTGCATACTTTGATTAAATAAATATATTTTACAAAAAAATGACTTTATATTCCTCCCGTACAATACGCCAATTTCATATGTAAGCACCTTTATTTCAGGCAACGGGAATAAGAATGTTAGTAAAATTTAAGTGATATATAAATTTTAGTGTTATTAATAATATAATATAGTGTTAGTAAATAAATAATAGAATAATAGTAATAATCACGTAAATAAATTGAAATATTTGAGACCAGCCGCCAAGAGGGTACTGATGTCTTATACCGTGGCATGTAGCCGTATCCAGTGCAGCAACGGCGGGTCCCACCTATCTGCCATTGTGTTGAGAATGCTATTGGAGATGCCTCGCAAAAGGCTCAGCATCGATGCAACACGCTTTCCATTTAAATATGGTATATCATGTAAAATATCACAATAAATTAAATCATTATTAATAAAAATGTTTGTTTTGTAATTCTCTTTCAGTCAATACGTAAATGTATACAGTCCTCCAATGGGACTTATAAAGTTATGACGTCATTAATCAGACTGGCACGGTGACGTCATCGGCGCGAGATAACAGCGCGGGAGGCTCGGTTATTTACATGAGATAACGCCTACGCCCGTAACGAATAAATTATTGGTCGGAAGGGGAGGCAGAGGAAGAGAGATTTTTCTCATTCGATAGAGTCGGTTGATCGTGTTTGTTATTGTTATGAAGAAGCTTAAAATCTACGACATTAATAAAATAATCTTCTCTCAGAGCATCGTTCTTTAATTTTATAAACATATTAAATTTTTTAGTTGACTTCTCTAGACTAATGAAGAAAAAAGTTAAAGAATAACACTTTCTCACACAGTCACACAAACACACACACACACACACACACACAAACTGAATTAATTTTAATGTTAACACACTGCGTGCCTCTCTTTTTTATTTTATTGTTTTTGTGGTATTTTTTTCCTAAGTTAAGCTTCTTTGTCATATGGGATACTATTGTAAGTTAAATTTTTCTTTTAGATTGCTATTTTATTTTTTTATTGGATCAGAGTGACAATAAGAGAACAAACAGTCTTCCAGATGGTTAGAGAAATCTAAATAGTTCTTTGAATGATTTGTAACAATAAAAAGGGTCTCTGGATCTCTACACTCGTCATCAAAACACAACAGCATTCTTCTTCTATTTCACGCTGGTATTCTGTGAGAGCGTGGTTCTTCCCCGGTAGAGCTGCTATTCGTGTCGCATTCATATATAAATGCAACGTGGCTCTACCACATTTACGAAAATGTTATAATTAGAAAAATATGTGTTGTAAATAATTTATTTCACAAATTTTATTACAGGACTGTAATTTGGAAGAGCGGAATCACCTTAAGTAAGAGTAAATCTCGACGACGAAAAGTCTTAACTTTTATAGGTCGATTTACGAAGGAATTAGTAAATTATCTTGTCTTTCGTTGTTTATCATCATCATCATCATTACATCCCTTCACAAGTCCACTGCTGAACATACGCCTCCCTCAAGGAATGCCACAAAGCACGGTCCTGAGCCACCTGCATCCATCGACTTCCTGCATGTCTTACCAGGTCGTCACTCCATTTAGTGGGGGGGGGGGTACCCTACACTACGCTTACCGGTACCTTAAGAACCTTTTTCCCCTGGCTACTGCAAACTATAAGTGTGCAATATCTTTACATTATTACAAAACTTTACAACTTAATACCAAATTCAAATGTTGCAACCGTAAAAAGAATACCGAAGTATGGCATCAAGAACAGTGTGGTACGCGAAGACCAAAGTATTACACAGTTCTAACAAATACAAACACATTAGATACCAACATTGTAAAATTATTTTAATTCGTTTCATTCTATCACACTGAAAAGTGGCACTCAATAGCGATACAAGCAACCCAATTCATTTGACAGCACTTTCTACAGACTTATCATTTCACCGTGGAAACGTAGAGACACTTTAACATTCGAAGTTCGTCTCACGGAAACCAGCGTATTTTTTATAGAATTATGACAACAAACGAGGACACAATTAACCTGATAGTAAGTAGATTCTATGGCCCATTGATATCAACATCTAACCTCGATTAATAATCAAAATGTAGATGCGATGTCATCCCGAGAACTAAGACTTAATACTTCGTTTCAAGTAAAAATGATCTTCAAATTTCTACACGCTACATATAAAAAAAAACAGCATTGAGCTGCTATTTTACGCTGTTATTATGTGAGAGCGTGGTCCTTCCCCGGTCAAGCCGACCCATTCGTGCTAGAACCATAACTGTAGCCTGACTCTACCACATACAAAATATAGTAGTTTAATGCTGCCGTGTTTCGTTCGTTGTGCCTTTTTACTTGTAACGAGGAAGTCCGTCTTAGTCTTCAGGGGTGATAACTAATTCTCGTTTGCTTCATCTCGACTAGGGAAAGACCATATTCTGATAGCATACCAGCGTAAAATAGCAGCTTAATGCTACTGTGTATCGCAAAGTGAATATAGAATACCGGAGATCCTTTTTACTGTTACAGAATTCTATCTTAGCCCTTAAGGATGACCGCGCATCTATGAGGATAAATATAGGTGTCTACTCGTATATGCCATAAGATCGACTTGCCATTAGGTGAACTGCTGCTGTTTATTTGGTCTCATACTTTCAAAACATTTAGGTGTATATCATATTTGTTTTTATTTTTTTATGTGAAACATAGTGAATTAAATATGACCCGCATACAAAAAATATAATATATAGTTAAGGGGATAGAGTAAGTCAGCTCAAATTCTAATTTCGTCCCCACTTGCCTGCGCGTCGCATGCTATGTACCGACATGTTTGTAATCACTAATACTGTAAGTAGAAAGGTCGTTAGACACTTCTTTCATTAGGTTTATCATATTTATGCCTGTTTCTTAACGCCAAGCCAGTCGCTTCTTATTTTTATTACGGTTATTTCCCATTTTAATTTTACGTCGTCGTCCTGTTGCGTAATGTATATTCTGATCGTAAGCGACACAACCTCCCCGTTCAAAGGCCGAAGCGAAGTGACCGTGCGGCAGGAATCACGTTTCAAAAGGCCGATAGTTTAGGTAATTTCTTTTTACAGTGAAAATAATGGTATTTTAAAAAAAAAGTAAATAACATAAGCACTGCTTTATAGTTAGTTCAGTTAGTATGCAAAGTTACATGATCTTATTTAAAGTATTTTATGAATAATAAAGGTTTGTTGTTTATTTTGGAGGGAACTTTGGATTTTTTTTCTATCGAGAAAATTTTACGAAATCGTGTTTTCGTCTAACATAATCCTTAACATTAATCCTCAACTTTACCATATACTTATTTCAAAATTAATGCTGCAATATTTTCGGCATAACGGAGGATCATGCTAAGCCATTTGAGATTATATTTCCCCTTAATAAGAATCAGTTTAAAGAGAATATGCTTTATGTACATTGTTTGGAATTGTACTTATTAATGTATGTTTTAACTATGAGTGTTTCAGACTGACCTGTGCATTTTGTGGCGCGAAGTGTGTCAGAGAGTGTCGGTGTAGAATATCCTTTGCTGAGACCGCTTCCAAGCTTTTCGGAACCTACAAAGAATTTAGTGTTATTAGTTTCGTCAATAAGATAATAATAATAACCCTGTACCCAGACCTCACAGGAGTCCATACAACTTTTTTTTAATTAATGAGTTAAACGAACTTATATTTCACCTAAAGGACTTCTGTAGCATATGGAAATTTGCAGCCAACTTCAAACAAAGTATGCTACTGATGCGTTGTTAACTCTGAGTAATAAGATGGAATGCCTCACAGCCTGTTATTATACTGGCTCCATACCAGCTCCAAATATCAGCGTAAGCACTGCTATTTGTCAGTAGAAGTAGATAATACGGTGATATTCCTACGACCTAGGAAAGGCGGACTATTAGTTCGTGTGTACGAATGTTTGGCATCCGTTCCTCCAACATTAAATAAATTGTTAATTACAAATGTTGGTTTCACGCGTTCTTGATAGTGAAGTAAACTTTAAGAAGAAGCCGGAACTCCGTCTGGCCAGCAGTGTAAAATTAAGAATTCACATTTAGAAAAAGCTAATATTAGGCGTTTTTAGGTGCTAATTAGGTGTCAAATTTAAAAATTAGCTTAAATTTTCACAGCAATGAACTGTTGAAACGTGCCTTGCTGGCATAATGTATCGATAATATATCGTAAATATACGATAAATATTAACAGCAAGGAGTTAATTCCTAATTAAGTACTGAAAGATTATTGAGGTGTGATTTAGGCGAAGGTAATATTGAATAAAACTATTATTTACGGATTTTATCGCGTTTAATTACTTTAATTTATTTTTATTATCCCGACGTTTCGGGTGCTTTACAGCACCCATGGTCACGGGAGATCTCCCGTTATATCTATTTATAAATAATAGTTTTATTCAATGCGTAGTGCTCGCGTAAATTTAAGAAATCATTAGGACGGTAATATTCTGGTATCATCGGGTCCAGGACTGCCATTACCTTAGTATAAGCACAGAATAAATAAAAGTACAAGAACTATTAGGTATGAACGGCATTTTTTGTCCTTTATCAGTTATATATTATAGATAAGGTAGGTCGAATCTATACTAAAACCGAATCGGAACGCCCCGACTCCACGTAGTCTTGTCTGCACTACCCCTAGAGTGTTTTTGTAAAACCATAGGTACAAAGGGAGATCAGGGAATGCGCCCATTGTATAAAAAAATCAAATGAAAAAAGTGAGTTGTGTTTTTGAAAGCACTTAATTATCAAAAATCATTCTATACCTGATTTTGATTCTATTCTGATTTTCAGAAGAACAGAGTTTCGCGTCTGCTTTGTTCTGAATAACGACTATTTTTATTAGGGGCCACTTGTCATTGCCCGTACTTGCAGCAAATAATTAGCACTTAATTCCTTGCTATTAATAGTTACCGTATATCTATTATCGTCACTTCTTTCCTAGCGATACGTTTTGCTAGCAACGCAAATTTCGACAGTTTGTTGCGGAAAAAATTTTAGACCACCTAATTTTTAAACTTAGCACCTAAAAAGTCCCTAATTTTGGCTTTTTCTAAATGCGTATTCCGGACCGGTTTAACAAACAAATAAACAATTAACAATTTAAATATAAGTACAATTTAAATAAACAATTTAAATATTTCTAAGTAATGCGAATTCAGGAACAGTGGGGCCGCCGGGGACTGGGCTGGGACGGGGCCGTCTATTTGTGTAATTGTTCATGGGGGGTATATTGCCATAGTTGCCACGCTTGGCGAGCGGGTTGGCAACCGCAGTTTTTTTTTGTCGTACAGTTGCTGTTATCAGGAAGATGCTGCTGCCCATCTCCTGCCTGTTTCCCTCTGTCACCTTTTACGACACCCACGGGAAGATATGGGGTAGTGGATATCTTAACCGCCACTACACGGCACCATGGTAACGGCGGGGCAGGGGGTGCTAAGAATCTCCGGTGGAGGTTCGGTTGCCACCTACGACGACTCGACCTGGCAACATTTAACGCACGCACACTGAGGACTGACGAGAAGATCCTGGAGCTGGAAGAAGAGATAGACAAGTTGCGCTGGAGTATTATAGGATTATCCGAGGTCCGAAGAGAGGGGTAGGACACGGTGATTCTCGAATCCGGCAACTTGTTCTATCACCGGGAGGGCGACCATCTGTCCCAAGGAGGTGTCGGATTTATCGTCCACAAGTCTCTCGTCAACAACGTTGTAAAGATTGGGAGTGTGTCGACTAGGGTCGCGTACCTGATACTCAGAATCACCAAACGGTATTCGCTGAAGGTCATACAGGTTTACGCACCAACCTCGGCACATCCCGATGAGGAGGTAGAGGAAATGTATGAGGATATTTCCAAAGCCATGCATTCCTCCAAAACCCACTACACGGTGGTGATGGGAGACTTCAACGCAAAACTAGGCACAAGAGAAAGCGGTGAGCTGAAGTTAGGGAAATTTGGAGTAGGGCAACGGAACCGAAGGGGCCAGCAGCTGGCCGACTTTATGGAGAAAGAGGGACTCTTTATGATGAACTCTTTCTTCCAGAAGCGGCCCCACAGGAAGTGGACCTGGTCGAGCCCCGACGGTTCGACAAAAAATGAGATTGACTTCATTATGACGACCAGACGGCAACTGTTCAGTGATGTCTCAGTGATCGCAAGGGTGAAAACTGGCAGCGATCACCGACTGATTAGAGGCACACTGAACCTAAACGTTAAGTTGGAGAGGTCTCGTCTAATGAAGTCAACGCTCCGTCCCCCTCGTGCTCTAATCCAGAATCCCGAAAACTTTCAGCTCGAGTTACACAACCGCTTTCAGTGCCTACAAGATTGCAATGCAGTGGACGATATGAATGACAAGCTCGTGGAAACTGTCCATGCGGTCGGAGCTAAGTTCTGCAAGACCCACCGCACAAGAACACAAAAACTCTCCGATCACACTCTTAATCTCATGGCTGTTAGACGGGAGATGAGGCTGCAATCGTCAACAGATTTGACAGCATACAGGCAACTGAACAGACAGATCTCCAAATGCATGCGGCGAGACTTACGCAACTTTAATACTGCTCGTATTAAAGAAGCGATCGAGCGGAACCAGGGCTCCAAAGTCTTTGCCAGAGATCTGTCTGCCAGAAAGAGCCAACTGTCAAAGCTGAAGACTGAATGTGGCAGTATCGTTTCCGGGACACCTGAGATGTTGAGTGAGATTGAGAGGTTCTATGGGCAGCTGTACACATCATCGTTGGAGCCACACGCAAGTGTGAGTAACGATCCAAGAGCAAGTCTTATCCGACACTATTCCGATGATATCCCGGACGTCAGTCTAAGCGAGATTAGAATGGCTCTCCAGCACCTTAAAAACGGCAGGGCCCCAGGCGAGGATGGAATTACAGCGGAGCTTCTGAAAGCGGGTGGAACACCGGTACTGGAAGTCCTTCAGAAGCTCTTCAATTCCGTCCTCCATGGTGGCACTACTCCAGAGGCGTGGAGCAGAAGTGCGGTGGTCTTGTTCTTTAAGAAAGGCGACAACGTTCTCTTGAAGAACTACAGACCGATTTCCCTTCTGAGCCGCGTCTACGTGCTGTTTTCGAGAGTCATTACGAATCGTCTCGCACGCAGACTCGACGACTTCCAGCCTCCCGAACAAGCCGGTTTCCGAAAAGGCTTTAGTACCATAGACCACATACATACCCTGCGGCAGATTGTACAGAAGACTGAAGAGTACAATTTGCCACTTTGCCTGGCGTATGTGGACTATGAGAAAGCCTTTGATTCCGTCGAAATTTGGGCGGTGCTGCATTCCCTTCAGCGGTGCCAAGTTGACTGTCGGTATATCGAAGTGCTGAAGTGTTTGTACAGTAGGACTACGATGGCTATCCGAGTACAGAACCAGAGCTCGAAACCTATCCAACTGCAGAGAGGTGTAAGACAGGGTGACGTTATATCCCCGAAACTCTTCACCGCTGCTTTGGAAGACGTTTTCAAGCTACTGGACTGAAAAGGATACGGTATTAACATCAATGGCGAGTACATCACTCACCTTCGATTTGCCGACGATATAGTCCTTATGGCAGAATTGCTGGAGGACTTAAGCACTATGCTCAATGACCTCAACAGTGCCTCCCAACGGATAGGTCTTAAGATGAACATGGACAAAACAAAGATCATGTTTAATGTCCATGTCACACCCATGCCGGTAGTTGTTGGGAGCACTATGCTCGAAGTTGTTGACGAGTATGTTTACCTGGGACAAATAGTCCGACTAGGTAAGTCCAACTTCGACCGAGAGGTCAATCGACGGATTCAACTCGGCTGGGCAGCGTTCGGGAAATTACGACATATCTTCTCGTCAGGTATACCTCAATCTCTAAAAACTAAATTGTACAACCAGTGCGTGTTGCCAGTGATGACTTACGGATCTGAGACGTGGTCCTTCACTGCTGGCCGTATGAGGACGCTCATGGTCGCTCAGCGAGCTATGGAGAGGGCTATGCTCGGAGTTTCTCTGCGTGATAGACTCAGAAATGAGGATATCCGCAGTAAAACCAGAGTGACCGACATAGCCCAACGGATTAGTAAGCTGAAGTGGCATTGGGCCGGCCATATAGCTCGAAGAACCGATAACCGATGGGGAAGAAAGGTTCTCGAGTGGCAGCCTCGTACCGGTAGGCGTAGTGTAGGGCGACTCCCCACTAGATGGAGTGACGACCTGGTAAGATATGCAGGAAGTCGATGGATGCAGGTGGCTCAGGACCGTGCTTTGTGGCATTACTTGGCGGAGGCCTATGTTCAGCAGTGGACTTGTGAAGGGCTGTAATGATGATGATGATGATGAATGCGAATTCGTCCTCCGTCAAGTTCAAACAAAATACGTGTGGCACTCGGTGACTGCCGCGGTAAAGCTTATGCAATTATAATTATTTATTTATTTTATTTGTGCAGTTAAGTCTTTGATATTAAATCAAGTTACACTTTTTGAGCGTGGTGACCTATAAAAAAACAATTTTTTTTCTCTTATTGAATAAATGAGAAGTTAATATTGTTTAAAA